ATAAATAGATGATACTGAACGGTCGTTCAATTGTGTGATAAGCAACAAAATATGAATGAGTGAGAGATGAGGTGAGAGGGAGAGGTGGTTGATAGTGAAAGAATTAATGGGAGAAGGCAAGAGTACAATAGGAGAAATGAAGAGGTTTTTGACAGCCTACGAAGGGGAAAGGGTGAAAGAGGATATGATGTTGAGAACCTCCATCATAGACACAAAGAAGTTAAGAAAAAATGATGTATAATACAAGAAACATATTATAAAAGAAAAAGTATGAGAGTACTTTTGATTCCCGTTCACTAATACTGAACAATGATATGTTTATAATAGTTTGGTAAAGCATTTGTTGTCACAACAACAAAAATGATTAATAAATAGAAGCTAAGCTTAAACAGTACTATATAAATGAATGACAAAGGCCAACTAGCTAGCAGAATTAGCTGAATTGTAATCACTCTGAGAAGATCATGATGTATTAGCTAGGATGGCTCATTATCACCTTATGGCAACATTATGGCTTATTCTTGTATTACAGGAAAACCATTCATTACCGACATATTGATTGTTAGATTATCTTGAAGAAATATAAATCTAGAAATTGAGAGAGCTTAGCGAAGATATTAGCTCGTTAATCCTAGGTGACTATTTGATGAATTGAAATTATATTGAATTTGATGCAATCTCTCATAAAGTTATAATTCATTTTGATATATTTTTTTTGTCCTAGCATGAAATACGGACAAGTGCAAGAGTAGAAATATTATCACAAAATAATAGATAAATAAATTGTCAGTGGCTGGTGTGAATGAATAAAAAAACTATAAGATAATTTAGGGACATGAAAAAGAGGAGACAATTTAAGTTTACCTTGTGGAGTTGGAAGAAGTACTTGTTTTATGTGAGCAATAGGTAAAGTTTGTCCATTACCGTCAAAAAATTTGTGGAGAGCCATTCTATGGCGAGCTTGATTTAACTGATACAGACAAGTTGTGAGATGGGAGGTTGTTCCAAAATCTAAGTACCACTCAACTATACATGAAGAACATTGGAGATGCAGTCTCATAGTTAGATTCATTGCGTTACCAATATTTTAGAGCAGAAAAATCAAAATTTTTATATATTTTGTGAAACCTCTTAAGTAAAAGAAGATAAACTATTAAATATCAAGGTGCATTTTGGTGTAATGATTGAAATTTCATTAAGAAACTTCGTTGTTAAATGTGCTCGTCCTGGAGAAATCTTCGGATAAGTGACCTAAGAAGCTACACCAACTGGACAAAACTGTGAGATCTTAGGCCAAAATAGATAATATCTCGATAGTTAAGAACTTGGCCTGTTAAAAATGATATTAGAGTAATACACTAGTCGGAAGATGGGAACTAAGTGTCTTATAAGACAAAATGCTACGTCATGGGAGCCACCTCTTAAACCATACATGAGACAAAATGCTACGTGGCGGGAGTCATAACTTGAACTTGTAAGACCACCTTTAGAATCCTATCTTCTTGGGGGATGATTCTAGGATCCTATCTTCTTGGTGGATGATTCTGGGATAAGGATACTGAGAAGGATGTCGATTACTTATGTACTGGGGAAGATTGTGAAACCCTTTAAGTAACAGAAGCTAAACTCTTAAACATCGAGGTGCATTTTGGTGTAATAGTTAAATTTTTATTAAGAAGCTCCGTAGTTAAGCGTTCTAATCTCGGAGAAATTTTGGAATGGGTGATCTCCTAGGAAGTTACACCAATAAGACAAAAAACTGTGAGACCCTTAGGCCAAAACAGATAATATCTCGATAGTTAGAGTTTGAGTTGTTACATATTAATAGGTGCATGTAAAAAATAGTCTACCACCATGCTGAGAGAGATTGCAGAACGTCCTGAAATGAGGAGAATTTTGAGAGAACTTTCTACGAGCATAACTCATTTAGGATGATCGAGCACGGCTGCGGCACTGATCATAAACTCTTAACATAGAAAGAGCAATTTATGGATCAAGTGCCAGATTTGACTTAACTTCTTTTCTTGTTTTAGCAGCTATGTTTCACTATTCACTACATGATAATGAATATAAATCATCTAAATTGAGAGGCAAGAGATTTATATGAATAGTAGTCTTGAATGCTTGGAATACAAATGACAATACATTAAGAGTGTATTGAATAATATCCTCTTTAACAAGAGGAAACCCAATGACAACAAGAATGCCAATTTTGGCTTTAATGTTAGAAAGATATTGGGTTATAGTTAGATTTCCAATTGTTATATGACAAAGATCAATTTTTTAGTTGAGGAAACCTAAGGTAAAACTGTAAAAGCAAAGTGTAAACGGTAGAATATAACTATTTAGTAAGTTTTTGATCAACGAGAAATTAAGGCATCATTTGAGACGATTTTTTTATTGCTTCTTAAAATAATTTGTATAAAAATTTTAATTTCATACTAAAAAGTTGCTTTAAGAAGCAATAAAAAAATCGTCCCAAATGATGGCTTTCTTATTGCTTCTTAAAGCAGTTTTTAGTACAAAAATTTTAATTTTTGTACTAAAAAGATACAGTAAGAAAGCTGCCCCAAATAAAGGCTAAGGTTTCATTTGGGGCAGCTTTCTTACTGCTTTTTAAAACTGCTTTTTAGTACAAAAATTTCAAATTCAAGAAATTTTTGTAATAAAAAACTATTTTAGAAAGCAATAAGAAAACCGTCCCAAACAAAGCCTAAGTGTGATATTCTGAGTTTGGGATGACCATTCCATAGCCATTGATTAGTAGATGTTTGGCTGGTCGAGTTGTAGAATCACGAAGATAACCAACAAAGTCCTTGCCGGAGAATATCTTGAGGATTTGTGGCCTCCTGTGTGAGAATTCTCATAAGAGAGCTAAAATTTAGCAATCTTTTTTATATTTGTTGTAAAATATTTATGATAATAAGGAATATGACCATTCTCGAGTGTGGGCATAGTTCCATCCCCATTGCATGGCTAGTTGGTCATGGAAGATATTGCAAATTCAAGCATGTAATTAAGAAAGATGAAAGAACAGTAATGCAATGAGACAATGCTCTGATATCAACTTGAAGGTCTCCATTGAAGACCTATAGAAGTTAAGAACAGTATATGTATAATAGAAGAAGAACATGAGAGAGTAAGTTATGAGAATAGTTTTAGCTTTAGCCAAATACTTTGGAGGAGATCTCTCGTCCGCAATGGGGCTTAATAGAGCAACAAGTTCGCCAACGCTGAAACTTTGCTCTAATTTGTGTAATTCTTTCTTTTAAAAATTATTTATTAATCAAGAGAATCCACCAACATTTTTTCTGGACACCTAAAAAATATCAATAGTTCGTTTTCCCCTTTGCTCCTCTCTTGTGACTCATGACCTTGAGCACGGCTTTCGTTTTCCCTTTCGCTCATCTCTCGCCCCCAAACGAAGACCGCTTGTGATAGATGTTTATGTCTTCTATGCTCTAAGGGTCATGTTATTTGCATTCTTAATTTTGATCTTACAGCTCTCTTGACTCCTATAATGAGGCGGCAAACAAAACTATTTTAATATATTCTAACATGGCAAACAAAACTATTTTAATTTAACTCCCTGAATAAAATTTTTTTACTCTGCCACTACACTATATATATAATCTAATATTTTTAAATTCTGTCTTCTATTCTAATTAATTAAAATTTTTATATATTTTTTGTCATTAAAGCTAATCAAATTACTTCTTAAAAAAATTAAGCAATTTCTTATTTCCAATATATTGACCTGTCAAGACAAATTAACAGTAGGCAAAGCCATCATTTTTCGCTTATACTTCAAGCTATCCAACTTATTCCTCTGAGGCTCTCCTCTGGTATCCAAATTAGTATTTTTTATTTTTTTCTTAAATAAATCAACATATATTATTCAGAAAAATTTTGGATCAGCAAACTTTGATTAGGATTTGACTGAGTTATAGAATTTGTTTTTAAATGAGTGTAATTCATTGAAAATTTATCAAAATAAATATTTTGAGGGAAGTTTTCCTTATTGTGCATACAGAAGGAAAGAAATATTTTTTTTACTAAAATTTAATTCAGATAAAATTTGAATTTATTTAAAATAAGAGCAATATAAGACTTTATTGATTGTTCATTTCAAAATAAATATAAAATAAATTTAAATGTTTTAAAATTTATTCTTATTTTAATCAAAATATCTTGAGTGATAAGTTTCTCTTTGATATTAAAATTTGATTGTATTTCTCAAAACTTAAACTTAAAAATCAACCAAACAAATTTAAATCTAGGAGTTATTGGAAAAAACATTTTTTATTTTATTATATTTTTTAAAACTATAATTTTTTATATTGAAATGTTACTTTAGAAAGGTGTAAAAAAATTATCCCAAATAAAAAAACCTTAATTAAAAAACTTATTTCGTAACATTCTTAAATATTTTTTCTTAAAATGGGCTATTTTTATCATTTATTTTTTTCTAATTTCAATATATAGTATTATGATTTTTTAATATAACTAAACTATTAGATGACACAAAATTATTAGACATTTAAAAATATAATATGACATAAAAATAATAGAAATATCTAATAATATTTAATGTATATTATATAATAATTTTTTGTAATATTGGGAAATAATAAAATGATAAAATTACAATAAATATAACAAAATTATAGATTCTAGCAAAATCTTTAATGGGAACTTTTCTGCTTGATTTTTTAGTTTACAATAAATTATCTTATACAAATCTTAATTAAATATCATAAATAATCTATTAAATTACTTTATATATATCATTTATTTTAAAATAATTAAATAAATGTAACAATTTTTTTCTCGAATAAAAAAAAATATTTTTGCCCACCGTAGGTCCGTAGGTCTAAAATGAAAAGCACGCTCGGATCACCTCTCACGCCGTCGCTCGCTTCCAGCATAAATAGGCCAGCGGCGCCTCCTCCTCCCTTTCCTTTCTATGTTAGCCTTTGTTCCTTCCACTTCCAAGTTCAGACTACGAAGGAAGAGAGAGAGAGAGAGAGAGAGAGAGAGAGATGTATGCAGAGCCGGGCCTTCTACTGCCCTACTTAGAGGGGTTCTCGCTGATGCCTTCGCCGCCAGCGCCAGTTGCGCAGCTGCAAGAGCACCAGCTAAGTATGTCGCTCACAGGCGATCTACTGGGAGTTTCTGCTCCAATGGTATGCTTCTTTCCTCAAGAATCTCCAAATTTTTACCCGAGGGTGGTTGTGATTCCTCCACTTCTTCTACTTCCTCTGCTTTCTCTGTTTGTGTTGTTCTTTCCAGTAAGGTTAGCATGGGGTAATTGGGAGGATGTTGAGGGCAGCCGTAAGTGGCGTTTCTAAGTGTGCTGTGAAGCTGGATTGATACTTTGGTTTGGCCGGTCCCATGAATCGGTCTTCCCAGTTTTTTTGAAAGGTCAAAATGACTGAATTGTTCATATTCTAGCTTAATTTATTGAAGCGTCCTTTCTTTTTCTTGTGTATCTTTCTTCTTATGCGAGTTAAGATTTTTTTTTCTCTGCTTATTGGGATTGTTGAAGATTTTTGTCGTAGCATCTTCTTAAACTTGTTAAGACTTGAGAGTTTTGAATCTATTTTTTATTTTTTTTTTTATTTTTTATTTTTTAAAGATAACATCTACTTAAATCGCTAATGGCAAGTTAAAAACAGTTTGAGTTGGTTTATCTTTGTTCGATTGTGACATATTTGAACCGCTGGCGAGATTTTTTCTTTTCGGTTGTGCTCGGAGTATCCGGCCTGATTGTTTAGCTTAGTTTTCTTAATTTGTTCATTGGACTATTAGCGGAACCAGCCCTTTGTTTGAGTGATATTGTCATCCCTGTCCAAATGAAGAGGGTAGAGGTTCAAATCTCACCCCAAAAATTTGTTCAAAGGGTGCACTGTAACAGGACATTCTGAAGATGTTTTGTATGAGGAGGGATTTCATGTCATGACTTCCTTTTTCTTATTCCTTTCCCACCTTGACAATCATGTGAGGGAGAGAATGAGGGAGGAATTGCTGAGGATGACATGAAATTTAAACCTACTCAGTTAAAACATCCTCAGGACATCTTTAGGGAGTCCTTATTCTTTGGTTTTTGAGAATGATCAAGTAGGCGGAGTAAATATTACGGGGAACTTGTAGAATCTGGATATTTGAGTAATTGAAAAATTAGCTGGAACCAAATAATTAGTATTCCAATCTGTCTCATTTGGAAGACCAAGAAGATCTCTGTTATTTTGGGGAAGATTAACCAAATAATCGCTACAAATAGTGAAGTGCATGTAATAATATTTGCATGAATAGTTATGATTTCATAACATGCTAGTTTGCACCATTCCTTTGAAAACATTTAGGATCATCCATAGAAAATGTCTTAGCTTACTTTATTGATAGATTTCCACCTAAATCAATTTTTATGCTGTTTTACTGACATCAGATGAAAGAGTTTTTATTGAGAAGTTTTCTTCCTTCATTTTGTCTTGAACACTTTGAGACAAATATTTCTTACACCTTTTTCAAGTTCTTTAAGTCATTTTAGTAACCCATGTTATGCCGCTCTGCAGGGAAATCTAGTGCAGCCATCCACCATATTTGAATATGATCTTGGAGGTGAAGGAGATTTATTCAAAGCTCCTGAGCCAATCCTAGAAGAACCATTACTTGCAATAGATCCTATGTGTGCTGCCATTTCCATAATCTCCGGTGGAGATGATGTGATCAACGATACAATCAAGGTTGCAGACATACAGACAATCCAAAATGAGATCCAAAATAATCATCTCTTGATTGATGCCTTCTATGAGTGCAAGAAAGATCTAGAAAAATATGCTATCAGTGATTCAGTTGTTGAGCCAGCTGCTCTTCAGATTCCAGCAATGCTGACTGACGAAGCTCTTAGTCTGGAAAACAGCAGGATAGTTGCAGAAGGACCTCTAAACAAAAGCTTTAGTGCTGGGTCTTTAAGCATTGCAGAGTGGAGTAATAGTGTAGGAAGACCAAACTTTCTTGAGTTCAAGGACTTGGATTTTGAAGCTGCCTATGGAATGAGGAGGGCATACAGTGAAGGTGACATTCAGGTCAGTAATTTCCGGCTTTGCATGCCTTATATTTGGCATTCGTTCTGCCTTCTGCTATTAGCACCAAATTGCCAAGGACATAACCTTGAGTGAGAAAAGGAAATTCTAAGTTTGTAAAATCTTTAATCTTGAGAGATTAAACAACTTGAATTCTCATACAAAATTTATATGAGACAAGATCAAAATTGTCCCTCAACTCTTTTTGAGGGATCAAATTTATCCCATTTTAAAGAGTTGAGGTACCAAATTGATCCCTCAAAAAAGTTGGGATCATTTTGTCTCTCACAAAGAGTTGAGGGACTATTTTGATCTTTTTTTTCAAATTCATATCAATTATTCTCAGTTTGTTCCACAGAACAATATGTTATAAGAAAAAAGTTTTTTCTAACAATCAAATGCTCAACAGCTTATATCATTTTTCATTTAGTGGTGAGTATGGCTTGCAAAAATTGAATAGTCTGTATTTGTTGAAAGCAGACTAGTTTATGCGTTATGTAGTAGTAGTTTCCATGATGTATATGTGCTTATCAGAATTAGGCTTTGGTGTGATAGTTTGTCCTGTACTTATTCTTGCATTAATTGTTCATATCAATTTGCATCTAGCTTTCCTTTTCTTCTGAACTTATTCTGTAGCTTATGCTGACTTTGAAAAGTTGACTATCCTAAGAATTTGAGGTTAGAGAAAGAATAATGGTCAGCATAATTGACTTTGTTTCGATATTTCTGGTTTATGTTATTCTGAAAAATAGTATTTTTTTTTTTACAAAGAAAACTTCTGTAGAGCTTAAAGCCATACTGTTCTATGCTATGTATTTGCAGTTGAAGTCTTGAATGCTGAACTTGACCGTGGGTGGGGAGTGGTAACCTTTTTTGCCACTTTTAATTTTCAATTTTTTTTAACAAGCAATATTTTTAAGGATTCATAGATGTATGGAGAAGCCATGACCCTAAAGCATTGTTATAAATAGTTTATTTGAAAGCATATGAACATTATTAGTGGCAAAATAAAACAATTTTCCACATAACGTAAGGATTACATCACCTGATATCACATATTTAAAATATCTCTAGATGGTATAAACCTGTTTTATATTTGGTGCTTCTTGGACAGAAACTTGGAAATTCTAATGTAAACTTTGGAGGCACAAATGCTGTCCGCTCTTCCCTTGAGCAGCTAATAGCCATGGGTGACTTCAAGTCCGAGGATCGCAGGCAGAAACTCTCGAGATACATGAAGAAAAAAACGAGAAGAAATTTTGGCAGGACAATTAAGGTATATCTTATACTCTTCATTGTTTACTTTTATCACACGCAAACAGTTCAACTTATGCTCCATAAACTGGATATCCAGAGTTTTTATAAACCTAAAATAAATTGATGGGGAGCTGGCTGGACAAATGATGTAAAACAAACATGCGATGGAGGAGTTACTTTAAGAAATTAAAGAGATCAATTGTAACATAATAACCCAAAATAAAATTATCACTTATAGCCAAAAGATTGATCATTGGAATTCGTGGTTTTTAACTTGGTTAGGCAAGGTAGAGCAAGATCAATCAACCAAACAATTCAAGAAACACAAAGGATAATTGTAAAGTTACGACGATAAACAAGAATCCACGAGTTAATAAAGAGAACTTTCACCTTTGGAGCCCGTACGCTCAACTAATCTAGGCTTTAGCGGAAGAAGAGTCTCCACCTTAGAATCGAGGTCGCTCCGAGGAAGAAGGAGCCTTGGATCGTCGTTCTTGGATAGGTGGCCGGAGTATGGGATTCTTGCCAGTAATTTCTTGAAGGGGTATTCGGCGGCCCGGGAGAAGCACGCGAGCTTTGGCGGGCTTGGGAGAATTCGGCCAAGGGAGAGACCATGAGTTGGGTGCAGGAATTTCTATTTTGGTAGAGGTGGGAGGGAAGTAATTTGAGGGATTCAAATTAATTCAAATGGTATTAATGGGGCGGTGAAAGGGGAAGAATTTTGGGCAGATTTTGTGGTGTTCTTATTGTCAAATTGGAAGGAGAGAAGAGCCCATCAATGGGCCGGCCACATGGAGGAGAGAAGGCTTAGGTGTTTAATCAAATGGGGCCCACATAAATACATAACAGATTTCATATAAATCCTGTAATAAAATCAGGATTCATTAAAAGGAAAGTTTCCTTTCATAGATGTACACAATAAGCAACCCCGTTTTGAAATTCAAATTGAAATCCAAGGCTAGTGATTATTTGCTCAATTAACGTTGGTTGAATGAGCCAATTAATCAGGCCTTAAATGCTTGATTTCACGGGCTGGCAACATGGAGTAACGGCAGTCACGGGACGTGACAGGGAATTCGGTGGGTGGAAGAGGCGGGACAGGCCAGGCCTTTGGATCCAGCCACCTGGACGTGCGGCCAAGCCTGGACGGTGGAGCAGACCAGGCGGTTGTCCAAGGGGCGGCTGTGGGGCTTCCGTCAGAGGCCTGGGAGGGCAAGGGGGAGGTGGCGACAAGTCTGCTGGCCGACTGGAGGCGGGGCAGCTGCGGATCGGTGGGTGGCTGGACTGCCTGGAAGGGGCGGCGGCAGAGCACAGGGAAGAGAGAATTAATAGAAAACAAAATATTGGGGAACTCCAACGGGAATTCCAAACTCCACAAATGCTTTGATCCACATCTCCACGCTAACGAAATAAACAAAGAACTAACGAAAGTAGTAGAACAAGAACATCTAGAACTCACTAAGAGATCTAGTTTCCCCCTACGAACTCACTAAGAGATCGAGGAAGATGAACTCACACAGAGAACATAAGTGGCAAATTCAATTTCATCAAAAACTATCTATTACAAGAGAAGGACCATATAAATAGGCCTCACAATGACAAATAAAAAGCAAAAGACTAAAATGCCCCTTGGGCTACAATAGCGACCAAATACCCATAAGGGCAAAAACGGAAAAAACATAAAATAAAATAAACTACTACATAAAATGACTCAAAATAAACTCATGATCGTAGCCGTCGATCTCCGGCGTAAAAAAAAATATTTATTCAACAACAATAAATGATTATGATTTATCATCATATGAGACAATATATTAAAAAAAGAGGGTTATTTATCTATAACTCCCCCTAGTTTGGTCTTATTGCTAAGTTTTGAAAATAAGAATAGTAGTTTATCATATTTTGCAAATCAGGACAGCTAACTTTGGCATACATGTTATGATTTATTAAAAAATAGCATGTATGCCTGACAGTTTATCTTATTTGGATTTCTTTGGGACATTTTTCTTATCGATTTCTAAAATAATATTTTAGTGCAAAAATTTCTAGTTCGAAAAACTTTTGTATTAAAAAGCTGTTTTCAAAAACAGTAAAAAATTGTCTCAAGCGAAGCCTTAGTATATCAAGTTTCATAGAGAACTTTAGTATTAATATCCCTATATCAGGATTTCGATACTTTTTCTAGGGTTTTAAGTAACCCTGACACATGCTATTTCAAATAGGATAAACTATTGTTTTTATTTGTAAATTTTTAAAATCGGTCCATTTCTGTAAAAAATTAAATTATAGATAGTTTTATACAAATAACCCAATAAAATTATAGTGAAACTGAAACATATATTTTTTCACTCAATTATAAATTAAGATTCATTGCTCTTTTCTCAAGGATAGAACAACATAAAATTAATTAATAATAAATAATTTCAACTTTCAAACGAGAATCAAATGGAAAGAGGAAAAGAAAGATTGAAATAGTTTATAGAAAAAACCCAAATAAGAAACATCCTCTTATCAGAATCTGGAAAATCACAAAATTACAATCTAAAACAATGAACAGACAGAAATCGCATCTAGTGAGCTGTAACGCAAGTAGTGGATGTTCGATGCAAATTGCTGCCTTTTCCTAACCGTCCCAATCACTCACTTGCAGCTGCCATCAATGCCACTCACTATAGCACAAAGATGCATCAACTTTTTCACATCCAGTTCACATCTGATTTAGGACCACCTACTTTGTTTTGCAAATGAAAAATGCCCGTCTTGAGAATTTTTTTTTTCATCTAATTGGTTAGCTGTGTAAAAGCTGCTCAAATTAGGGGTGTCAATTCGGGTCAATGGGTCAGGTTCGGGTCGAACCTGACTTTGAGTCGGCCGCAAATGGGTTGACACTAACCCGACCCGGTTTTGCAAACGGGTTAGGTTTGTCAACCCGGACCCGACCCATGCGGGGCGACCTAACCCGACCCGCGAACAGCTGCGGAGCGAAGCGTGTCCGCCGAGTCTGAACCTCAAAGCTGGTAGAGTAGAGGCATCGGAAGCAACAACGAGTGCGCTGTGTGAGACGAACGACAGTGACGGTAGCTCGGCAAGCAGCGGTAGAGGTAGCAGAAGGGCGGGTCGCATGGCTGTGCGGGTTGGATCGACGGCGGCGACACTTGACGCAGACGCGACCCGACGCGACGCAAGTGAGACATGAGTCCTGACGCGTGGGATGACGAAACGGGTCAATTCGGGTTGACCCGTTTTTCAAATTGGTCAGAAATTCGAACATGGACCCAACCCATTTCACAAACGGGTTGACTCGAACCCAGATTTTTCCGGCTCGGTCCGGATCAGGTTTCGGGTTGTGTCAACTTTTGACACCCCTAGCTCAAATGGCATGGTAGGATCCGAATCACAAAAATATTCTACCAAGTGGAATTGCCATGGCTGATTGGTTAAAGAAGAATTTTATTTCTCTAAGATTATTGGTTTAAACCCATAAACTTTACACACGCGCGCGCACACACACACTCAACTGGTAAAAGATTTCTATGATTCATATGTTGCCCCATGCTATTGGACTAATCTTTTTGGCCAACCAGTCTTCGATTATGGAGTAATGCTCAGCTGTTCTTATTGGTTATCTATGAGTTAAACCTACAGTATATCTGTTGATCTATGTAACAGTGAGAAGGTAATTAATGAGAAGTCTATATTCGGCAGTACGCTTGCAGGAAGGCATTAGCAGATTGCCAGCCGAGGGTGCGAGGAAGATTTGCAAGGACTGGAGACCATGAGATTTCTAAGCAACGGAAATGAAGAATGATGGATTCCAGCAGCCAATAGAGGGGAAATTATTCTGTGCGGAGTCCGAACGTAGAGGATCTTTCAGATTACTACGTATCCTATGCTTAAGCTCTGTTTACGCTCTGTGTATTTATAGCATCAAATATTTAGTTGTAAGAATTTGCTGCTTATTTGTTGTGTATCTACAAATACGCAGAGTGTAAGTAGAGTGTACGCAATAGTGTAAGTAGAGCGTAGTCAGAGTGTACGCAGTTCATCCAGTAATCCGAACGCATTTCTACGTCCGGTGTCTGCATCTAATAATTTCCTCCAATGGAGAGGATGAAATTAGCATGAAAACCCTGGAGTTTCCTTTGAAGGAATGTTACCTCAGCAAGACCAAGTTTGGGACTTCTGGTTCTTTTCTTGCTTATTCCACCTTATTTTTCTGTGTAATAATGATCTTTATTTAGAATCATGGAGGTCGTGTTGTAAAAATGTTTCAAATAAAATGAGATCTTCCGTCCCATGTTGCTCTTATTGTGATGGCTGTTGTTTATTTTTTTTAATCTAATGGGTTGGATACCAAAATTGACCAGTCAGAGTGCGACAGGCTTTCTTTGATTCTCGATGAGGATTCTACAAAGTATGATGCTGCCATGTGGTCAGTTTAGTGAAATTATTAATTGTGATCCTCGGATGCCATCCGGAGGTGAATTAAGATGTGCCACATCATCATTTTGGTATGTATCACGGTTGTGTACCGCTCTGTATTGGGTGATGTGGCGCATCCTGATTCACCTTTAGACAATCCGGTGACCGCACGTAATAATTTCTCGTCAGTTTAAGGCTTTATTTGGAACAATTTTTATTACTATTTTATCATTGCTTGAAAAATAAAAAAAATTGTTGCTGTAAAAAGAAACAAGAAAATTGTCTCAGACGAAGCCTGAATCTTATTCTGAAACTTCTAATTAAGAATTCGTTTGAGATAACTTACTTACTGTTTCTTGAATCAATTTTAGTACAAAATTTTTTTTTTTCTTATTTTTTTGCTTTTCAGATTACAATTATAATTTTTATTTGACTATTATTTTTTTCATCATTTTTGCAAAATTTGTATGCTACAAAATAGCTTTTCATAACAACTTTTGAAAATTTTATTTTTATAATTATTTTATAACTATTTTTATAAAAAGTTACAGCCAGCCATCCAAATAGCTCTTAAATTATATGAGGGGCACTATACAATTCTCATCATAGAGCTTAAGGAAAGTCAAGTAAGCAACTTTATCGTAATTTGTCCTTTCAAGACTGCAATTATAATCTTGTTTGTCAATCATGTTATTGTTGCTTTTTAAAGAAAATTTTACTGCGAAATATTTTTATAACAAAATTTATTTAAAAAGTGAGGTTAAAAGAAGCTGCTGTTCAAATTTTCGTATGCAAATAATTTTATTTTATTTCTTATGTGAATAATATTATTTTACACATCTCAATTTGATTTGTTGGTTAGAAACTTTAGCTACCAACTAAAATTATGTATTTAATTTGTGTTAATTTATTTTGATTAATTTAAATATTCTAAAATAATAATATTGTTATTATTATTTTCAATGCAAAGAGGGGCCAACCTTTGGATAAGGGATAAGTCATGGGAGCAGGAGCAATTATTAGGTCCTTTCACTCGATGTAGAGGAAGGTTCGATTTTAGTCAAAAATAGGTAAAAAGTGCAAATACTGAGTTTTTTGAAAAACTCGGTATTTTTTCAAAAAACTCGGTATTTGCACTTTTTTAGGCAAAACCAAACCTTCCTCTAGGTCCTTGCACCGGACCAAATAAAAACTCAAGTCATGGAGACATGATGCCTCCAGTACATCAATTAATTGTTACTCGATAAATTTTTATAGATTATACTAAAGGCTCGTTTGTTTCCACAGTATTTCTCCGTTTTTCTCCTTTTTTTCCGTTTGCAACTAGAAAACGTAGGCGTGGAAGATGTTTGAATGTGTAGCAGACTTTTTTAAAAACTCCGTTTTTGTATTGTTTTGAGAAGCATTATTTATTAACTTCTCCATTTTAAAAAGACCTTTTCTCCTATTGGTGTTTTTTTTATACTGGAATAAGAAAAAAACCAAACGAAGCCTAAATTATTTTGCCAGAAACTATTTATATTAATGCAGCGACCATTGAACCCCTTCTAATAGAGCTCAAAGTCCATTTTAAGCGTTTTTCTAGGAAGCCACTTTGCAGCCAAGAAGACTTGGAAATTTCTGATAATATTTTTCTTAAGACCAAAATTCAATAAAATATAGTCAATTTACCTTAACCTAACATTAGGAAATTTATTGTTTGTAACCACTAACCAAAGTTGTCACATTTGGTATGGTCTCGAAGAACTGGACAATTTATTAACAAATAAATAAAGGGCAATCACTCTCCATTATTATTCTCAATATACATGTTAGGCTTCAGCTCTCCACTATGTTTGTTCCCTTATTTCATCATAATAATGATGAGTTCTCATTAAGGTTCATGCTTGTCTTATCACAATGATTGCATGAACCTTGGAATATCACAATCAAAATGATGCTGATAATCTCCTATTTTAAGGCCTTAAAAAATTACACAACTAACGATGTTTAGCTTAATTGATGGACGAGTACGGTTGATAACCCCTAACTCATGCTCTATTCTCCTTGAGCATCAACCCCTCTTAAGTGGGGCACAATCAAATACGGGCCAGACGGTTTCTGGGGTGGGTGCCTATTCTAGGTCAGCTAAGAATTAGTCACACCACCAAGCGTCTTCCAAAGGTGGCAGCAGATGAATACCCCATTTAAAAAAAAAAAAAAAAAACTCGACTTTCACATTAGAAATATCATTATTTCATTGCCCCCTTGATGTAGGCAGTCAACCTAATACCTTTTGATGTGATCTGAAGGCACAAAAGGTTGAGATGCTAATCAATTAACCCCCTTGTTCACATAGCTTAAGCATAAACTGGTAAATGAAATAAGAAGGAAAACAAATGTTAAAGGGTGGTTGGATGATAATTTTAAACCATAAATTACATGGTGAAGGAAACTGTTCCAGCACAGATCAGCATGATCAACACTCGTAGTCAGATGATCTTCAACCCTAATAATACTCATTACAACAACTAATTATGGTGAATGCAACATTCCACAATGGTGTTTCACAAGTAGAATTCTGTGAAGTTTAGGGTTATTTTGCCTCTTCATTTTGAGTGTTATAAGGACAAGTGATCATTCAGGGCTTATTAAATCAAACGTTACATAAGCCAACTGCCTGAAAGAACAATTTCATGGTGGCAGCTGCTTCTCGAAAAGACAGGACTTATTCATCATTATTACCCTTTATCATGTGGATTTTCCACAATCAGAAATAGTTAGTAGGAATGCAAATTTTGCATATTTTGGCTATTAAGTACGGCCAAAGAATTTAAATAGAAATTATTTGAGATGCTAATCAATTAACTCCATAGATCCACTTCTCCGCATTGTTGGCGTAAGAAATAAGTTCGGTAGGTGAAAACCAGAGGGCAATCTCATCTTTAGCCGTTTCAGGTCCGTCACTTCCATGGATTATGTTTCTGCAACCAAATTTGCATCCAACTTCAAGAACTCAATCAAAATGGGAAGTAAAAGCACTATAGAATAGAACGAATTAACTGATTTTAAATTCCAACAGACAAATTTATTTCACTGGAAACATTTAGGGTTTGGGCTGAATTCACATTGTTGAAAATTGAAACTAAGAAATCACTTTTTAAAGTTTTTATTTTAGTTTTGACCAAGTATTTTCCTGTTTCAGTTGGATTACATTAAGGATCAGTCTTAAGCCCATATCATTTTGATTTAGTCATGATGTTTCTCACTGGACATTTGCAAGAGGTTATACCCTGGTGTATACTTTTTGCTAATGATATTCTTCTAGTTGATAAGACTAGAGAGGGAGTGTATGGTAAACTTGAATTATGAAGGTCAACCTTGGAGTCTAATGGCTTTCGTTTGAGTAGATCTAAAACTGAATTATGGAGTATAGTTTTAGTAATAATTGATCTGGTGGGGGGATTGTGACTTTGGTTGATCAAGTCATTAATAAGAGTACTCGTTTTCGATATCTTGGGTCTATTGTTCACAATGATGATGAAATAGATGAGAATATTATTAAAAGAATTCAAGTTGGATGGTTGAAGTGGAGGAATGCATTGGGCTTATTGTGTGATAGAAAAATCCCCCTCGAACTTAAGGAAAAATTCTGTAAGATGGTGGTTAGACCAACAATGCTTTATCGTTCAGAATGTTGGTCATTAAAAGAGAAGCATAATATTAAGTTAAGTGTTGAAGAGATGAGGATGCTCAGGTAGATGAGTGGCTTTACTTTTAGAGACACGACACGAAATGAGCATATATGTGAAAAGGTTGAAATAGCTCTAGTGGAAAATAAGATTGGAGAGAGTCACCTTAGATAGTTTGGTCACATAAAACGATGGCCTTCCGACGACTCCGTTAGAAAAGTAGATGTACTAGATTTGACTTATGTTAAGAAAGTTAGATGTAGACCTTAAAAGACTTAGTTAGAAAAATATTAGAAATGACATTTCTTTATTAGATTTAAATGAGAATTAAACTCTTAACAATACACAATGAAGAAAAAAGATTCATGTAGCCAGCCTCATATAATGGGATAAAGGCTTGATGTTATTGTTGATGTTATACTATAAAATAAGATTAAATAATAGAATAGTTTGTTAGAATATAACATTTACTTTTAATAATAATATAGAAATAAAAATCACTGCAAACTAAACAAATGTTGAATAAAAGAACATCATCACAAAGGCTGTTTTTCAATGTTTCGTTCTTCAAAGATAGCAATAGCAAAAAATGCAAGCACTAAAACAAAATCGCTTAAAAGAATAAATTGTGGAAAGTAAGTACCTTCCAACAACAACCGCAAGATCACCTCGGATGGTTCCCGGCTCTGATTTTTGTGGGTCTGTTGCACCAATAAGTTTTCTACCATACTTTATAACTCCCTCCCCTTCCCAAACCTAGTTAAACAAACATATGAACAGACAAAAGCACAGGCCATTTACAAACCTCAACAATAGCATATTACATATTGGTGAAACAAAAAAGCCACCATACGCTCACTTACCATGGCAAGTACAGGACCCGAGCTCAGAAAGTCACATAAGCCACTAAAGAAAGGCCTCTCCTTGAGATCATGGTAATGCTGCTGAGCAAACTCATTGGAAGGAACTACCAATTTTATAGCTACCAGCTTATACCCTTTGCGTTCGAAACGTGAAATTATCTCTGCTATCTGAACAAACGGACGTCATTTACTATATAAAGTAGAAAATTCCCTTGTACAAAAATTTAGCATGCAAAAAGTGCAATTTTTCCCTTTTAGGCTTCATTTGGGACGGTTTTCTTTCTGCTTCTTAAAGCGGCTTTCTATTACAAAAATTAAAATTTTTGTATTAAAAATCCGCTTTAAGAAGCAGGAATAAAGTCGTTCCAAACGAAGCCTTAATTTGATCACACAAAAAACTTTCATAGAGAACATGCACCATCAGAGATGAATACTCACAAATGGAAATTGAAATTCTATATCATAATTAGGGTGCTTGCATGCTTTTCAACGTGGGCAACCATATAGATGTAATTAACCAACTTTTTTGACATAAATTAATGGGGGGTAACGACACAGTAAGGGTTAGGGGTACAATATCTGTTTGCACGCCAAAATAACCATACATATTGGTTTCTCTCAGAAAATATGCTATGAAGAATACACTAAATACTAGACCTAAGCAAACGAAAAAGGCAATTATTGACATCGTTTGGATATCTTACCAGGCCTCTTTGGACTCCATCTGGCTTTATTGCGATAAAAGTCCTTTCTAACTGAAAAAAGAAAAGTCCAGTGAAAAGTAATATAGCATATTATTTTTGTAGAAATGGAATTAGTTCACTTTGCAGTTCAATCTGATAATACCTCAGCTGCATGAACCTCCTCCTGAAGCATGTACACTAATCAAAGAAAAAGTATACATGGCAAGACTTAGAATGCAGTAGCAAATTTTTTAATTTTCAGTGAGTGAAAACTTTGAAATCATCCAACAACAACAACAACATCAAGCCTTTGTCCCGCTACGTGGGGTTGGCTACATGAATCCTTTTTCGCCATTATGTCCGGTTAAAAGTCAAATTTTCATTTAAATCGAATAAAGAAAGATCATTTCGCAATCATCCAAATACAGAAAAAAAAAATATAATATCATCAAATGGTGCCTTTTAACCAGTGCCTAGGTCAATGATCTTATTTTACAAACAACTTTGTAATTATGACATATAGGAGATCACATATATTCTCAAGTAAAGATGATCTTTCGTGAATAAAATGTGGCCAAAGAACCAACAACTTAACCTACTAATTAACAATATAATTTTGTGGTTGCATGGAAACATCTAAATATTGATTGATCATGTTAACATCAAAATTGTAAAGAAGAAATGGTTGAACAATTGATAAAAAAAAGATTAATAGGAAAACAAATTGAATAATAAGAAAACCCACCTTTGTCCACATGGGTGGTGATAATCATTGGATGAATACTATTGTTGACAAATCTTAGAAAGAAAATTTGTATATCTTGTTCAATTGAGAAACCCCTTATAAATAATAGATTGCCACAAATTAAAACTATGTGCATAACATGGTTTCCTAAAATATTAAAGTCCCACATTACACTCCCCTTCAAGCTGGAGTGCATATATCAATAAGTTTTAACTTGTTACAAATTTTGAAAAACTGAATAGATCCTAAAGCCAAAGCAAACACATCAAGTTCTTTTGAATTGAGAATATTGAAAATAGTTATCTTGTTGGATAACATACGCAGGACGAATTAAGTGATAATATATATTATGGATAATTTCAATATGTTTTGTTCTTTTGTAGAATGCTAAACTTCTAAAAGCGCAAATAGCATGGTTAACACAATTTAAGATCAAAGATTCTGTGGTGTATAAATCAAATTCACTTCATAGTATTTCTATCCACATTTCACGCGTAAAACGAGTTCTGGCCCTGTACTCTATTTTTGCACTTGATCTAGCCACTAAATTTTGCTTATTGTTTTTCCAAGTGACTAAGTTGCCCCATACAAAAATATAATATCCAATAATGGATTTTCTATCATCAATAAATATAGCATAATCAACATTAGAAAGCTTCTATGTCAAGGTGCCCATTTTTTTGTATGGTAGACCTTTTCTAAGGGATTTTTGATTCATCTAAGGATAAGATGGATGTATTCACAATATTTCTACATAGGAGATTGCATTTTTAACTCACAATAAGTACAATAATTTTTTTTTAATTCTTGTAATTATATGATAAATTAATTTCTCAATCAATCTTCAATAATGGGAGGCATCTTCTACTATATTTTTTTCTTCATTGGAGGTCTTTTGAATATCAATAGAAGTGTCAATATGTTTGCATCCTAAAAATATAGTTTATTCTAGATGATTCAGCATATGTCCTTTAAGGTCAAGAAACCCCAATCTTGTTGAAAGAAAATTTGATCCCCAAAATTTATGAAGGACGACCAAGTTTCTTTGTCATAAAACACTTCTTTTAATGTCCACTTATAGCACTTTCTCAAAGTAGAATATCATCAACATAGACAGCTAATGTAAGAAAGACAGATCACTTGTGTCTTGTAAAGATTGAATCATTTGCAAAACAAGTCCAGAGGCCTAAACCAGTCAGAACCTTTCAAAATTTATTGAATCAAACAAATAATCTTTGTTTCAAAACATCAATAGATTTGTTGAGTTTACATACTCTAGTCTCCCCCTGAGCAATATAGACAAGTGGCTATTCCATATAAATAGTCTCAATGAGATCTTGATATTCAAGAAGCGTTACATCCATCTACAGAAGCGGGCACTCTTAATTGATAGCAATTAACAATAGAATGCGAATGGCATTAATTTTGGCAACAAGATAGTATGAATCACTATAATTAAAACCATAAACCTGAGTTAAGCCAATGGCCAACGATCAATAAAAACATCAAAATTAAATTTTATATTGTAAACCTAGCAACATAGAGCTGGTTTACTCCCAGAAGAAAATAGAACAAGATCCCAAGTACGAATATTCATCAAGGCATTCATCTACATGGCCTATTTCCATCAAGGACCCCGTAGAGCTTCCCAATATATCCTATCCTAGGCATAAAAATTGAAAATAGAGAGTATGCAAATTGTTGAAAGCAAACAAATATATAATTAAGTTTTGTATAAGATTGAATAAAATAGTCATTACTCATCCAAAGAGCCATGAGCAAATGAAGTTTAGAGAATTCTTCAATAAGCGGATTCTCAACTAGTGGACAATGTTGATGAAGATGTTGCTACATTAGGAGAGCAAGGTTGTATGGTGCCTACCTACAAAAGTGAGGTAGAAAGGCCATAAAAGTTAGAGTGATGGAGGTAGAGGAAGAAAATAGAGAGACGTTTCATGACTGTAGCATCTGATGAAGTATAGAGGCAACTAATAGTTGAAGGATCGATAACTTTTTTAGTACAAGAACACCCAAAGAAGATAAACGGAATAGCCTTAGAGGAAAATTTTATAAAAGAATGAACAAAACATGTGCATCCAAAACTCGAGGATCTGAAGGAATGGTGATTGTCTGAGATAAAAAATGAAACAAGGGGAGACTTCACCTAGAACAAGAATGGGGTGTAGTTAATAAGGTAAAACTGCATCACCCATAAACAATGATGAACATTCATATGCATCATTAAATTTCAAGCAACATTAAGTAAATGATGATATTTCTTTTCAACAAAACTACTTTACTGAAATATAGAAGGGCATGAGGCTTGATGAATAGTGTTAATATCAGCACAAAAAGAGAAAAATTAGGACTGCATGCTTTCCAATAACGTTATCAGTGAGAAGAGTTTTAATTAAAATAAAAATTGAATTTTTATTTCTTGATAAAAAAAAATTTAAAAACAAACAACACTTCTAATTTTAATTTGACCAAATATACTAATGTAATATGAGAATAATTATCAATAAAGGTGACCAAAAATTTAAAACCATGGTAGGTTAAAACAAAGACTCCACCCAGATATCAGAATGAAACAAGTAAAAAAAAAAAAGCACTACGTGGTGGAATAAAAGGAAATGAACACCTAATGATGTTTACCGAATTCACAAGCATTATATTCAATATTAGGTAAAGAGAATGAGGAGAATTATTGTAGCTGATATGGCTGTGGATGACCCAGACAATAATGTCACTGAAAGAAGTAATTCTTATAGAGAAAGTATACGAGCGTGCATATATTAAGTAATAAACTCCGGTACGTACAAAATTTCTACCATTTGTCTTCCTTATACGAAAATACTAAAAAATATAATGAAGACAATTAATAAGTTTATCAAGCATTTATGATTTTTAGTTAAGCAATGAATGAAAGCAAGTAATTAGGAAATATTAGAACAACAAAGGGAGAGAAGAGTAGAGATACAAACACAAAGTCTTTCTCAAAAACAAGAGAGTAGGATCCATTTTCAACAAGAACTGGGGGAAGGTGACACAACTTAAGAGAAGAAAATAACTAAAAACTACATGTCATATGTGAGGATGCTCTACAATATAGTATTCAAGACATATTAGATGAAAAAAAAAAGTAAATGCTATGAAAAACATAATTGGACACTTAGGAGTGTTGAATAAAGCAATCATGATACTAAGATCCTGGAAAATGTAACGAGACAAGTAGAAAGTTATCAAGCATTTATGACTTTAGACTAAGCAATAAATCAAAAGTTAATTAGAAATAATGGAACAAAAATTAGAGAATATACGGAAGATGGAGAGACAAAGCCTTTTATAGAAAAATGAGTGGGATCCATCTACAACAAAAAATTGGTAAAGGAGGGGGAAAATTAAGAGAAGAGAACTAAATATTACGCATCATATGTGAGAAAGTACCAGAGTTCAGAATCAAGGATGTACTAGATAAAATAGCAGCAACATAACAAAAAGAATATATGCTAAGGGAAACAAACTAGAATACCTAAGAGTGTTGAATAAAGTGATCATAATACACTTAGAAAGAGGTAACATAGCTAGAAGAGGTATTGGAAGCATGAGAGCTAATAGTAGTAACCGAATATCCAGAGGCAAGTTAAATCATGAAAGTTTAGTTGGAATTAGTCTAATAGCAATATGAAGGATAATTAGTTTGTTAACAATGACGACACAAAGAAAAAGATTTTCCTACATGACCACCATAATATCATGTGACAATGACAAATCAGTTGAAGATTGGTGGGGATGGAATTGAAAGCTCAGTGAACCTTTAAACACGAGAGAGTAGTATTGATGTCAGAAATAGTGGAATCAATCATCAAATGTAAACGCACGCACTGAAGATATGGGTTTAAAAAAAAAAAAAAAATGGCAACATGAAATGCTTCATTTTGTTTTTTGTCAAACTATAGAATCAATTATGAAGGGCCAATATTAAAGAAGATCAACCCACTCACTACATTGTGTCATATAGTATTCCTAAATTAGTGATAATTTTGTTGTCAAAAAAATTCTTCAGAGAGAAAAAGTATATGCCGATTTATTGCTTTCTTGAAAGTAAGAAAGCAGAAAATTACATTTCCTTGCTTATTTCCTAAAACATGATAATGTAAGTAATGGAAGGTTCGAAACTGTCATGCTTACAAGGGAAAACAGTATAATCTGAAGCATGCCAAGTAGAAAATTTGACTGCATCATGATGAGGGGGAAAAGAAACATCTTAATTGATGAGTTTGTCGGCAGAAACCAACAAGAAATCCAAAAGCCATCAACAACAAAAGATGGTTGGTAAAATTAAACTTTATAATATTATTGGGTCATTGATGGAAGCCGTTTTTGAGTTGGAACGAGAAGTCTAATAAGCCATGCAACTGCGGAGAAGAGGAAACTAGAGAAGTTAAGACGA